ACACACACACACACACACACACACACACACACATATACATATATGCAGCATGGAGCCCTGATGGCGTAGTGGTTAAGCGCTGGGCTGCTAACTGAAAGGTCAGCGGTTTGAACCCACCAGCTGCTTCACAGGAGAAGGATATGGCAGTCTGCTTCTGTGAAGATTTACAGCCTTGGAAACCCTATGGAGTAGTTCTGTTCTGTCCTATAGGGTTGCTATGAGTCAGAATTGACTTGATGGCAGCAGGTAAATATGGCATGTGGTAATAAGGTGTTGAATTTAGAGCTTAAAATTATCAGTACAAAAACAGCAAAGCTTGACTAAAAGAAATTACTTTTGCTGTTACAAAAATTATCCAGTAATACTTTATTACTAAAAATGTTTTCTTATAGATATCTGTTTACCAATTATGATAGTGATGTTTCAGACAATGCAAATAGATAAGATTCCCAGTCACCAAACTGTAAAACAAAAGGTATGCTGACATCTAGTGGTAACAAACAAAAGAACCCTGGTTTTACCAAATCTCAGTGATATCACTTCTCTTCACAAACTTCACTCCTTGTCTGATATGCCTTCCTAAACTCTTCACCAAGCATGTCAATATCATCCTCTTTTTTAAATACTCCCTACGAGAAAAAATGTTTTGTGGGTTAGTTTTGAATGTCAGAAAATTTCACTAAGTACTTTTAAGACTAACAAATTCATAGACATGAGGCTAATAAAGTTATCTACAAAATAATGAAATCTATTCAATAGATTTACAGAATTTTTAAATAAAGAATCATCAACACTTTCTACAAAGTATGACTTGAATATACGGAATGTTCTTAGACTGTGCTGATTTCTTGGTTTGTCAGTCCCGGTGGAGGAGCTGTGCTTGGACTGGCTAGGTGGGAAGGAAGTTAATCTACAGAGTACCCCACCTGTGTCTTGAAACTGTCCCACCATATGATATGAGGAAGGAAGCCGGGTCTGGAGGGACTGAGCTGTGCAAGATTCGTGCATGAGTTGGCTCTATGTGCCCCAGTTCTGTGGCTAAACAGCAAATATTCAGTGTTGCAGTAAAGAACCCAGGTTTGGAGTTGAGCCATTTAAGCAAGCCTTTGAAATTCTTCACTCTCTATTTACTTTTCTCTTCCCTTATACAGCAGAATGCTCTTTAAAATAAAATTAAACTTAAATATTTACTTATTTTGCCATCTAAAGGATCTAAATACTTTAAGTCATTTGGGGCCATTAAGACCTAAAGGATAAAGGTCACTTACGGATATTTGGCCCTCCTTTCTCCACAATTATTTCTCCTCAAAAATATCTAAACCCCTAGACTCTCCCAGAATTTATAGTCTATTTTATGAAATTCATCAATTACATATTGCTTTTGTTGTCAATACATCATTTCATATTTAGGAATCCTGTCTAACCAATTAGACTATCAGGTCTTTGTGGCTAGGCAATAATTACTCATATATTTCTAATTTCTCTGGTCTTACTTAGCGCTGGACTGTACACAAAATATGCACTTGATTCTTCTGATTGAATAAAATATCAAATGGCATGATTTTCATTATTTGTAGGATAGTGATTTTATTTATGTTTGTGGCCTTATGAAACTCAGTTATTATTTTATAGTTACAATGTATCTCAAATATACATGCAGATCTGCTATCTTCTGGAAGTACTCGTAAAAACCAAGGTTGAGTAGTACCTAGTAACAACATAAATTCTTATTACACAGCAGATGTGCCTCAGGCTCAGTTCAAACATGTATCTGTTATTGGTCTTACCAATTTCAATGTTCTCATGTATGTTATCTTTAGTATACAGAGCATCATAGTGCCTCTAGGATAGTTTAGTTTGGTTTTTTTTTTTTTTTAGGCTTCTTATGCTGAAAGAGGAGGAAAAACCTCTAAAATTTAAATTTGGTAAATCTAGCTCATACTTCCAAGAACATGCCAAGACCATGCTCTCATTTTAGAGATGTTTAAATGGACCCAGAGTGGCTTAAAGATTAGGCTAAGGTCCTAAAAATGGGCAAAACCCAGGTCCTGGGAAATCCTAAAGCCCTGATTTTTTTCACTATTAGAGGTCAGGAAGATTATACCTTACGTCTCACTTACTTTAGGGAGATAGCCTAGTAATTTTGTAGCATGTTCTTTGAGGAGTTTTAGTCTTTCTTCTTCGATAATTGCATTAATACATCCTTGTCTTCTTTGCTGCAACCGCCATTCTTCCAGTTCACGTTCCTGGAAATGTAAATCAAACTTTAGTAATTTTCACAAAATACATTAATCTTTTAAGAAATTCTCAAATAAAACTATTCGTGCAGTGAATCAGATGACAAAATTGATTAACTATTTATGGTAATAAGTTCAAAAGATACTACCAGCTGCCATTGAGTCAATTCCAACTCATGGTGACCCTGTTGTGTGTCACAGCAGAACTACACTCCACAGGGTTTTCAATGGCTGACTTTTTGGAAGTAGATCACCAGGCCTTTCTTCCAAGGTGCCTGCGGGTGGATTTGAACTTCCAACCTTTTGGTCGGCAGCCACGTGTATTGACCATGTGCACCACCCAGGGGTTCCTTCAGAAGATACCAGATCGGTAGAGAATATACGTCTCTCTTTTACCGTCACTACTCCTTTGACGTTACAAGAACATCATGTGACTAGGGAGGCAAATACATATGTTCAGGACAAAGTCTTCATTACCATGTAATAAATGTTCAAAGGAGTGATTTTCCAATCCAACAAATATTTACCGAATGTTTATCATAAGCTGGGTGCTGAAGACAGCTTACAATATAAGACAAAATGTTCGTGGACAAAATAGCACAGGGATATGTAAAGGATAAACATTCTCACATATATGTTACTATAAAGCCTGGATGTAGCACAAGGGGCCCTGATGGCGCAGCGGTTAACAGCTTGGTGCTAACCAAACTTTCGGCGGTTCGAGCCCACCAAGCGCTCCTTGGAAACCCCGTGGGACAGTTCTACTCTGTCCTACAGGGTTGCTGTGAGTCTGAGTCAGCTCGATGGCAACAGGTTTGCTTTTCTTGTCTTTTCTTTTCTTTTTCTTTGTATGTAGTGCAAGAGTTCTAGCAGGAGAGCCAGTATTTCTCAGGAAAGAGTTGTGAACAGTCTTCAGATAACTGCACCAAAACTCTGTCACATTAGTTTAAAAAAATGTTAGGACTCAGAAGAACTCATGGAATTGTATCCAAATGAGCCTGCCCATAAACCAAACCAAACCCGTTGTTGTCAAGTTGACTCTGACTCAGAGTGACCTCGTATGTTACAGAGTGGAACTGCTCCATAGGGTCTTCTTGGCTGTAATCTTCATGGAAGCAGACTGCCAGGGCTTTCTCTTACGGCACTGCTGGGTGGGTTTGCAGCACCAGCCTTTAGGTTAGTAATCAAGCGCAAAATATGTGCACCACCCAGAGACCTCCTGATTCTGCCCATAGAGCTTAGCAAATAAACCCATTAGATAGAGAAGGATACTAAAGGCAGGCTGCTGAAATAGTAATGATTTTTTTTTTAATTGTGCTTTAGGTGAAAGTTTACAGCTCAAGTTAATTTCTCATATAAAAATTTATACACACACTGTTATGTGACAGTAGTTGCAATCCCTACAACGTGACGGCACACTCCCCCTTTCCTCCCCAGGTCTCCTGTGTCCATCCAACCAGCTCCTGTCCCTTCCTGCCTTCTCATCCTGCCTCCGGACAGGGGCCGCCCATTTGGTCTCGTGTATCCGCTTGAACCAAGAAGCACACTCCTCAAGAGTATTGTCTTATGCTTCATAGTCCAGTCTAATGTTTGTCTGAAGAGTGGGCTTTGGGAATGCTTTTAGTTCTGGGTTAACAGTGTGTCTGGGGACCATGGTTTCGGGGGTTCCTCCATTCTCAGTCAGACCATTAAGTTTGATCATTTTACGTGAATTTGAGTTCTGTTCCACACTTTTCTCCCGCTCTCTCAGGAACTCTCTGTTGTGTTCCCTGTCAGGGCGGTCACTGGTGGTAGCCAGGCACCATCTAGTTCTTCTGGTCTCAGGCTGATGGAGTCTCTGGTTTATGTGGCCCTTTTGTCTCTAGGGCTAATATTTTCCTTGTGCCTTTGGTGTTCTTCATTCTCCTTTACTCCAAGTGGGTTGGGACCATTGATGCATCTTAGATGGCCGCTCACAAGCTTTTAAAACCCCAGATGCCACTCACCAAAGTGGGATGCAGAACATTTTCTTAATAAACTTTGTTATGCTAATTGATCTAGATGTCCAAAACCACAGTCGCCAGACCCTAGCTACAGCTAGTCTGTCTCTCAAAGTGTTCGGTTGTGTTCAGGGAACTTTTTAGCTTTTAGTTTAGTCCAGTTTTGCTGAGTTCCCCTGTATGAAATAGTAATGAATTCTTGACAAGAATACTTTAAAGTAGTACTAATGCTAAGTTTCTTGAAATAACTAGTTTACCAAGGTGACGATTTCTTTAGACCACTCTTGGTCAAAGACATGTAAACCATAAAGGAGAATATTTGTCTTCTTTGCCATTATAGGGAGGCAGGTTCTATATCACCTAAAAAGTCTTCGAAGTTGCTGGATAAAGATAAAGAAAGATATGACACAGCCAGATCCAATGCCACTTAAAACTGGAATTGCTTCTCATGAGAATATTTTTGTCTACTCTCCTATCAGATGTATTTGCTATGCTGAGGTGAAACTCACACAACCAAGTTAGCTATGTTGAAGCATACGATTCAATGGCACTTAGTACATTCACAACACTGCAGCTACTAACTCTAACTCCGAAACATACTCCTCGCCTCCTAAGAAAACCTCATACCCATTAAATAACCACTCCCTACTTCTCCCTGTGCCCGGCCCCTGGCAACCATCAGCCTGCTTCCTGCCCCATTCTGGATATTTGCATCCTGGATTCGCTGTTCTGGATACCTCACATCAACCGACGTACGTGACACGCGACCTTCCCCGTCTGGCTTCTTTCACTGGGCATCGTGTTTTCGAGGCGCGACCATGTGGCAGCCTGTATCAGTGTTTCACCCCCTCTTATGGCTGAGCAATATTCCACTGCATGTCTGTAACGCATTTTGTTTATCCATTCATCCTCTGACGGACAGCTGTTGTTTCCATCCTTTGGCTGCTCTGACCATCTGTGTACAAGTATCTGTTTGAGCTCTGGCTTTTATTTCTTGTGTGTATATACCTAGTTGTGGAATTGCTGGGTCATATGATAATTCTATGTTTAGCTTTAGAGGAAGAGCCAAACTCCTCCAGAGCAGCTGCATCATTTTACATTCCCAACCAGCAATGTACAAAGGTTCCAATTTCTCCACATCTTCGCCAACACCTGTTGTTTTCTGATTTTTTGAAATACAGCCATCCAAGAGGGTGTAAAGTAGCATCTCATTGTGGTTTTGATTTGTGTTTCCCTAATGACTAATGATATTGAGTATCTTTTCATGCGCTTGTTGGCCATTTGTATATCTTCCTAAGAGAAATGTCTATTCATGTTCTTGACCCATTTTTAAATTGGGTAGTTTATCTTTTTGAGTTGTAGGAGTTCTTCATATATTCTGGATATCAATCCCTTATCAGATATATGGTTTCCAAATAGTTTCTCTTGTTTTGTGGGCTGTCTTCTCACTTTCTTGATAAAGCTCTTTGATGCACAAAAGTTTTTAATTTTGATAAAGTCCAATTTATTTTTTCTTTAGTAGCTCAAGCTTTCAGTATCATTTATCTAATAATCCATTGTCAAGAACAAGGTCTTGAAGCTTTACCGATTTCTTCTAAGAATTCCATGATTCTAGTTCTTATATTTATGTTCTTGACCCATTTTGAGTTATTTTTTATATATGGTGTGAGGTAGGGGTCCAACTTCATTCTCTTGCATGTGGAAATCCAGTTGTCCCAGCACCATTTGTGGAAAGGACTATTCTTTCCACTACTGTATGGCCTTGTTGAAAATTCTATTTCATTTGTCTACATGTCTATTCTTACACCAGTACCACACTGTCTTGATCACTGTAGCTCTATAATTTTGAAACTGGGAATTGCTGAGTCTTCCAACTTTGTTTTTCTTTTTCAAGACTGTGTTATCAAGTTGAAGTCCTTTGTAATTCCGTACACATTTGATTTCCATTTCTTTAAAAAAAAGTCAGAGTTTTGATAGGAATTGCAGTGAATCTCTAGATCATCAGTGAATATTGCCTTGACAATATTAAGTATTCCAATCCATGAATATGGGATGTCTTTCTATTTATTTAGGTCTTCTTTAATTTCTTTCAGCATTGTTTTGTAGTTTTCAGTGTACAAATCTTTCACCTCCTTGGTTAAAATTTTCCTAGCTATTTTATTCTTTTGGGTGTTACTGTAAAAGGAATGTTTTCTTAAATTTCTTTTTTGTTCATGCTAGTATATTAAAAACTGATTTTTGTGTGTTGCTCTTTTACCCTGCAATTTTGCTGAATTTATTAGCTCTGGTAGTGTGTGTGTGTGTGTGTGTGTGTGTGTGTGTGTGTGTGTGTGTGTGTGTGTGTGTGTGTGTGTGTGTGTGTGTATTCTTTAGGATTTTCTACACATAGGATCATGTAATCTGCAAATAAAGACAGCTTCACTGCTTGCCAATCTGGATGTCTTTTATTTTTCTTGCCTCACTGTTCTGGCTAGAACTTGCAGCACAATGTTAAATAACAGTGGTGAAAGCAGGCGTCCTTCTCTTGTTCCTGATCTTAGGGGGAAAGCTTTCATTCTTTCACCATTGAGCATGATGCTAGCTATGGGTTTGTTTGTTTTTTATAAACACCCTTTATCACGTTGTGGAAGTTCCCTTCTATTCCTAGTCTGTGGAGTGTTTTTATCATGAAAACGTGTTAGATTTTGTCAAATGCTTTTTCTGCATCAACTGAGATAAACACATGTTGCCCCTACCCCCACTTTGGTTCTATAAATATGCATATTATGTTGCTTAATTAATTTTCCTACTCCTACATTTCTGGAAAAAATCCTACCTGATCGTGGTATATCACCCTTTCAGCGTGCTGTTAGATTTGTTTTGCTAGTATTTTGTTGAGGATTTTTATATCTATATTCACAAGGGATATTGGTCTGTAGTCTTCTTTTCTTCTGGTTTCTTTGTTTGGCTTTGGTATCAGGTGAATACTAGCCTCATAGAGTGAGCGAGTAAGTGACCCCTACTCTTTTATTTTCTGGAAGAGTTTGAGAAATGTTTGGTAGAATTCTCTTTTTGTCCTTGGCTTTCACCAACTTGATTATAATGTGCTGCAGTGTGGATCTCTTTCTGTTTATCCTTCTTGGATGTGTAGACTCATGTTATTCATCAAATTTGGGTTGTTTTTGGCCATCAATTCTTCAGATATGTTTTCTGCCTCTTTCTTCTTTCTCCTCTCTTTCTGGCATTCCCATCATGTGTATGTTGGTTCCTTGATGGCATCCCACAGGTCTCTTAGGTTCTGTTCATTTTTCTTCATTCTTTTTTCTTGCTCCTCCTCAGACTGGATCACTTTAACTAGCCTATCTTCAAGTTCATTGATTCTTTCTTCTGCCTACCCAACTCTGTTATTTCATTTCATTTATTGTACTTCTCAGCTCCAGAATTTGTTTGGTTCCTTTTTATAATTTCTGTCTCTTTACTGAAACTCTGTATTTGTTGAAACATCATTTTCCTGATTTCCTTTAGCTCTTTGTCTATGTTTTCCTTTAACTCTTTAAGAAAATTGGACATTTTGATTATTATAATGTAACTAGAAATCTAATTCTCCCTCTTCCTCAGTTTTGTTTTTGTTACTTGTTGTGGGCTATTGTTTTTGTTTGTTTAGTAAGTTTTCCAAACTATTTTTGTACAGTCTGTATTCTTTGTTCATGTGTGGTCTCTGAAGGCTCTTGTTTCTTTAGTTGTGTTTAGCTATTGTTTTGACAGAGCTTTTCCCTTGTGTATCAGGAGCCACCCTGCCCCCCAAAAAAAAAGAGAGAGAGAAAGCTGTCCTAGTCTTTGCAGACTGGCTCTGTGTTGGGGCACTCCCTTCAACAGCACTCCATTGTGTGGCCTCAACTGTTACCTTCTGTCCCAGCAGCTGTGTTTTGTTCATTTGTCCATCAATATTTTCAAGGAATACCCTCTGCATAGCTGCCTTTCTGCCTTGAATTATACAAAACAAAGACAGGCTAGAACAGACAAACACAGTTCTCTGAGAGAATAAGGTCTGGTCTCTCCAGAACTAGAGACCAGGGTCCCCAATGGACATACGACTGCCATCTTCAAGACCCCCTGAGCCAGGGAGGGGTTGGGGAAATGGCAAGAAAAAAATGTAACAAAGCTTTCCTGATATTTTCAAGTTGCCTTTTTCTTGATTCAGCATTTGCTTGGATGCTGTATACCTCTGACTATTTCCTAGAGTTCTGACGTTAATTCTGACAGTTTTTGCTTGATTTTTCTGTCTCTGCAGAGGCACAGGCCCTTGGGGCTTACTATTCTGCCACTTTTGCTGACTTTCGATTAGATGCATATTGTTACAGAATCTGAAGCAGCATTGATAGCAAGCGTATTGAGAATAAAATTATACCCATTGATGACTCTTTCTAATGAATCAAAAGGTTGAGTTTCTCTTAATTACTTTATCTCAAAGATGAAATGAGGTTAAAAAATCACTCAAGAATTGTTATACCTGAATTTTTTTGAGACTACATTTCTAAGGCTCCCTTACAGCAGGTGTGTTCACAGTAACACTAGGTTTGGGCCAACTGAATATAAGCAAAAGCCTCATGTGGCAGCTTCCAGGAATCTTTCCTATGTACTCCTTTTGCCCTTTCCCCACTTCCTCCATCCTACTGTTTGAAACATGAACACGAAGGCTAGAAATCCAACTCAGACCATGAAGAAGAGGGCTATGCCCTAAGGATGCCACAGTGAAAAGCTACAAGGAGCCTAGGTTCCTAAAGAGTCTGAAACAGAGCTTCCATTCCAGCCCTGAATTAGAAGACAATTTCAGAAGTCCAAGGAATACTACTGAATGTCTGAACTAAGATATGAAGAAGAGAAGCTGGATTTAAGAGTTATAGCTGAGATGGAATGAATAGCATTTGGTGGCTGACTAAAAAACATTACATGAGAGAGAAGGGGAAAATCCAGGAATGATTCCAAGGTGTTGAGCTTGGGTGACTGAGTGGATATGTTGTCTTTAACCAAGATTTAAGGTATAGGAGTTGGAAAGGTTTGTCCAGTATATGTTCACCTTTGGAAACCTAAATTATAAGGCACCCCACAAGATTTCCGACTACGCCCTTTAGACGTTTAGAAGTATGACAACAGAACTGTGGTGTTAGTTGAATAAGAATAGAGGTGAACCAAAAACTGAACTCCAAGTACCCCAACATTTTATGGAGCAGGCAAAAGACAGAGCTATCTTTCTTGGTTTTCTATAGTATACCATCCGACTCTTTTACCATTCTGACCATTTTTTGGGTCTAGTGGTTTCTTTTCCTCCTTCTACTTCCTAAATTAGAATGTTCCCCAAAACTCAGTAATTGGCCCTCTGATTGTTCCTCATTATAATATATTCTTTGAAGGAATCATCTTGGCTTGAACCTCTCTGTGCTACTTATTTCCAGACCTGCAATTCTAAGACAAACTTAACCTATACTTTACTCTTTTATTCAACTGCCTTCAAGATATTTTCTACTTGTATTTCTATTTCAAATTCAATATGCCTAAAATTTAAGTCATATTTTTTAGCTCCAACTCAAAACATAACAGCACTTATATTAAGCTTCCTATATTTGACGCTTTAGAGTTATTTTGACTCCCTTCCTACGCTCTACCCTATATGGTAAAGAAATCACTCAATGCTCTTCTGTTCTTCCTTTAAAAAGATTTAAATTCTTCCCTTTCTCTCTCCTCCCATTGCTGTTAGTAGACTATTCCAGGTCCTTATCCCCTCACTCTTGAAGTACTACTTACTCCTCTGCCTATCATTCGTGTCTCTTAAGGTGGTATAAACCCATATGCTGTCAATTTAGAACAGCGTGTCTTGAATTCTTTTATTCCTCTCTTACGCATTTCCAGGTAAATCCACATAGTTCTGCCATAACTGAATTGTACATTATACTAAATTCTATAAAGTTTACATTGTACATTTCAGAAATGTATTATTTTTATATCATGGAATTTTGTATATAACCCAGTCTTACTAACAGTTTGGAAGAAAATAAATATTCACTTATTTTCTGTACTAGATTAGAAGCTACTAGAATAAACTTTTATTTGTGTTGGTTCCCTAACCAACACTCAGCAGAACATCTAACAAGTCAGTATCCATTGTTACAAGAATATCCTGGGATTTTCTTGTCCGCTCATGGAGCAAAAGGTTAGCATTATGACATAATTAATTAATCCCAGCTCTGCCTCTTACTTGCTGTGAAACCTCTATGCCTCAGTTTCCAAGTTTCCATATCTTTAAATGGGGATAGGAATATCACCTAATTCAAAGGGTTGAAAGTTATTTTGTTATTATTCATAATGAGCTGACAATAGTGAATGACGTGTAGTAAATGCTCAATAAGTGCTAGCTATTATTACTACCACCTCTATGATTATTCAATAATATTCACTATAAGCCTAATCTGTGCTCTCCATTTTTATAGAGGTCTTTGTCTTTTCAGAGTACTCGCGCACTTACTATCTCATTTGGTTCTTAAAGTACAACAATCTGGTAAGACAGATAATATGAGTATTATTTTGGTTTATGAATGAAACTTAATAGACAAATCAATGTGTCTAAAGTCACAAACCTAGCTCTCTCCCCAACTCTTAAACTCATGTTTCCAGTGGCCTGCTGGAAATCTTCTCCTGGACCTCAAAATCATTGTCTATGAAATGCAACTCTATACCCCCTCAGAATCTGTTTTTTCTTTCCACACTCTTTTTTAAGAGTATCACTCACTCATTCATGGAAGATGAAAGTAACAGTATGATTTTATTAGTAGTGGCAGCCTTAATTCTTCCCTTACCTTTCCAGATCTAACTGGTGACCAAGACCCATCAGTTCTATCTCCTCAGCGTCTCTCCAATGGGTACCTTCTCCATTTGCATGGGCTTTCAGTGCCTATGCTTGGGATTACTGTATTAACTTCTTAACTGGTCTCCCAGTCTCCATACTTACTCCCCTCACCTCTACCCTCCGTTCTGCTGCTTGAGCCATATTTGAAAATGCAGATCTTATTACGTAGCCTTCCTAATTTTTCAGTGACTCCTGTTGTCTATAAGATAAAGTCCATCTTCTCTAAAATAGCATCCAGAGGTAGTCAGGATCTGACTCTCCTCTCTCCCATACCTGAGTCAGTATGATGTTCTCACATGCACTTAACATGTCTTTACAATTAATTTTTATAGATTTTTCTTACTCTATTAATTCATAAATGACATGGACTTAGTCGTTTTTATCTTTTTGTTCTCAGAACCAATTCTTCAGTGTTTGGCACATAAAAGGCATCAGTCAGTATTTTTAAATGCATTAGTAAATGACTGGTCAAAGTTTACGTATCATATGATGATTAAGCAGACACCTAACATCATCTGGCACATGAAAGGTTCTCAGTAATGTTTAGTGGATGAGTAACTGAACCTGCTGACGTTCAACGATAATGACAAAAAAAGAAAAAAAAGTTTTTTCTTACTTTGTCTGCAAGGAACTGGTTGCGACGTTCTTCGATAAGCTTCTCCACAGCCTTCCTGTGCTCCAGCTGCTTCATCCTCTGTTTCTGAGCGTTCATTAACTCAACTCGGTCATCCTCCGCCAGTTTAGCCAGCGTGGCTTTTCTGAACATCTCCTCTTCCTCCTTCGCAGCCTGCAGTACTAGTTCCCTCAGGGCCATCTGTTCTTCAAAACTTTGCTTCATCTCCTTTTGCTTTCTCAATTTCCTTTCTTCTTCTTCCTATAACAATACAGCAAAAAATTAATTCAGTTACTGTTTCTTTACATCTGATTTATAAAGAAAGGGTGGGATAGAGTTTTGTTAAGCTTAGAGTTACAATATAAAACCATACAAACTGAAAAATTAAGCCTTTTCAAGATAACACTTCACCCCATTCTTTTACAACTAGCTGGATAAAGGACATGCTACCTTGGATCGACATATCACATTGGGCAAATCTGCTGCGAAAGACCTCCTTAAAGTGTCACTTTGAGGGCTAAAGTGCGCCTGACCCAAGCCATGGTATTTTCAATCACCTCATATACACGTGAAAGCTCGACAAAGAAAGTCAGAGAAAGGGACAAATTGCTGAAGAAATTGCCTTGTATTACTTATTGTTCAATTTTAATTTGTATATATTTACCATCTTTCTTCTGTACTCAGAATTAACACATAATTATATTTTGAAAAGAGCCTATTTGAAACTTTTTTTGTACACCTGAGTTTACTAATATGTGGTCTGTGATATTTGTACCATCTATGAATCTTTCTCGAATCTTGCCTGAAACTTCTGTCCAAACCAATCGTTTAAGTATTTCTAGTTTCTAACTCCCTCCACTTGATGAAATCAGAGCTGCATTTACCCATCTCTAGTCTTCTAATACTTCTTCCATTCTCAAAGATTCTTTAAAATTTATACTCAGCAATCCATCAATGACAATCAGAAGTTTCTCATGGAAATTCAAATCTACTTGGAACAGTTAAAGTCCTTTCAGGCAAGCTTTTATTTCCCCAACATTATATTCTGAAAATTTCAAACATACCTAAAAGTTTGAAGAATTTTATAGTGATCACTCATATACCTAACACCAAGATCCTACCAAAAACATTTTACTATTCTTGCTCTGTCATGCATCTACTCAGCTGGAATTGACGTTCTTTGCCAACACTACAATTTGAAGAAAACAAATTATAATGAAAAAATCCTTATAACTGGACCAATAAACAACATCGTGATAAATGGCAAAGAAACTGAAGTTGTCAGGAATTCATTCTTCTTGGATCAACAATCAATGCCCATGGAAGCAGCAGTCAAGAAACCAAATGATGTACTATACTGGGCAAATCTGCTACAAAAGACCTCTTTCAAGTGTTAAAAAGCAAAGATGTCACTTTGAGGATTATTGTGCCCCTGACCCAAGCCATGGTATTTTCAGTTACCTCAGATGCATGTGAAAGCTGGACAGTGAATAAGGAAGACCAAAGAAGAACTGACGCATTTGAATGGTGGTGATGGTGAAGAATATTGACTATACCATGGACTGCTAAAAGAACAAACAGATACGTCTTGGAGGAAGTACAGCCAGAATGCTACTTAGAAGCAAGGATGGCGAGATTTTGTCTTGCTTATTCATGGACATATCATCAGAGGGACCAATTTCTGGAGAAAGGCATCATGCTTGATAAAGTAGAAGGTCAGCAAAAAAGAGGAAGATCCTCAGTGAAGTGGACTGACATAGTGGCTGCAACAATAGGCTTAAACATAGAAACGATTGTGAGGATTGCACAGGACCAGGCAATGTTTTATTCTGTTATACGTAAAGTCGCTATGAACCAGAACCGATTCCATGGCACCTAACAACAAGAACTGATGTAAATTTTAGAACTACCTATACGGGATCAAACTGACAATAGCAACTCAAAAGATTAGACAGGAACCTTAGGGGGCAGTGAGTTTACATTAATGGGAGAGGAACAACTCAGAAAAGGAGGGTGAGAATGGTTGTATAACTCAATAAATGTAACCAATATCACTGAACTGTACATGTAGAAAGTGTTCAATCGATGGATATTTTGCTGCATATATTCTCAACAATGACAGAATAAATAAAATAAAGAACTGATGTAAATTTTAAATCTCTCTCTAATCTAACAAACTCCCTCAGAACAATATCCTCATGGTATAAAATTATTGCCTTAACACCTGTATTGGTCAGGGTTCTTATAGATATCAGAATCTATACTGGTTTAAGCACAAAGGGATTTACTACAACTTCCAGGAGGGCCAGAGAATCAAGCTGCATCCCACTGCTCCAATCTCATGATGCTAACTTTACCATGGCCACCCCACATGATCTGATCTTCATCCAGGTCACTGCTATCTCATTTTGCTCACTTCCATCTTCCACACCTTGAGCTGGCCTGGGGATGGGGTAAAGGGTGGGAGGGAGCATCTAGGAGTGGAGAGGGGGCAGTAACTGCTGGAGAGAACCTAGGTCATATGAAGAATCCTAACTAAAGGAAGTCTCAAAAATGTAGTTTTAGCTTTCTAGTCTTTATAATACAGTAAGACAAATTTTAAAAAGAGGAAGGAGTGGGTGTTAGATGAGCCAATCTGCAGTATCAGCTATAGCATCTTTGTTCATTATATTTTATATTGAGTATTCAACCTTTCTTCTTTACCTATCCATATTTAATCCCCTTTTCAAATCCCTCTTCTTCACCTGTCTACACCTTATCCCCCTTTCAAACCCTACCTTCTCCATGAAGTCTTCTCAAATCACTCCAACCTATACTCATCTCTTTTTGGCATTGTACAGCATTTAATTTCTCCACCATTTAATTTTATTTCATATGTGCATGCCTTATCTCCCCACTGAAAAATAAATTCCTAGAGGGTGTATCTTATTTTTCTTCGAGATCCTGGGTACATAGTTTTTTTTATACTATATATTGTATGTGCATATTTCCATCTATCATATAGAAGCGAAAAGGCTCACTGAAGGTAGAGATACTGTCCCATTTAGTTTTGAATTCTTCCAGAACTGACAGAGTATTTTGTACACAGGAATGTAATACATATTGAACTAAATGGACTGCTGACATTTCCTGGAATCCACCCCCCATACAAATTTTAGTTTAATCCAACAGTGAAGACATCTGCCAAAGAAACAGGAACGTTTGGGGTGAAAAACAAAACCTTAGTTATATTTCTTTCACCTGGAAAAGGGTTCATGTATTCTTTGACGGGTCTGGATCAGTATTATGCTAGCTATATAATATGAACTACACAATCTTCCATGCTCTTCTATGTGCTAAAACCCATTATGTGGTTTCAGAAATAGCTGTTCATTGAAAGTGTGAAATAATTTGCTATAAAACCATTCCGAGCCTGGAAACATTTAGAAGGTGTCTTAGTATGAGTTCTCCTTGAAAGGAGAGTCTTAGATAAGGACTTGTGTATAGATAATTTTAGTTGGGAGGTAATACAGGGTCACTAAGGAGCCCTGGTGATGCAATGGTTAAAGCACTTGGCTGCTAACTGAAAGGCCAGCAGTTCAAACCCACCAGCCGCTCCGTGGGAAAAAGATGTGGCAGTCTTCTTCCGAAAAAGATTTACAGCCTTAGAATTAGAAGCCCTATGGGGCATTTCTACCCTGTCCTATAGGGTCGCCGTAAGTCGGAATCGACTCACAGGCACAGAAAACAGCAACGATCCCAGAAAGCAGCAGCGAGGAACGAGCTGAGTGAAACAGGAGAGGGAGAAAAGCCAACAAAGGGCGCGACACTGAGCTAGTTACTCCGCAGGCAGCTGGGGCTGAGGTGCACATGGACAATATCCACACGCCGAGGGGCAACAGAAGAAGCACTTCCCCATCAGCTCCCGTCCACCTTTGATGGAGGGAGGCCTCCGAGGCTGCTAGTCCCTGTCCCTGCCCTAGAGCGAAGGAGGCTGCAGCCCACGTCTGGTCTTCCCAACTGTGCCTCTCAGCTGTCTCTGAAATCAGAGGATGTGGGGCAGGGCACCAGAACCTTTTGGTACAATAGATATCTTTATTCTTATTTTGTCGGATTTTTCTACACCTTTGGGTTTATTTTTAACTCAGAAAATTATGCCACAGAGAGTCACATTTATCAGTACATAATTGAATAACCTCTCATTGTTTTTCTAATCTTCTCTATATTTACTTGTATTCCTTTCAATTTTATTCATTTTCACTTTTTTCTTTATTGTATTTTTCCAGAGGAAAATACCGTTTGTTTTTTTCCAAATATTAAACACTTGGATTAATGCTACTGTTTTCCTGATTTTTAGTTGATTTCCTTGTATCTTTATTTCCTTCCACATTCTTGCCTTACACTTGAATTTGTATTCTAAGTTACTGAGTTAATTGACTAGATATTTTCTCCATTATTTCTTGTTTAATAATTGCCTTCGAGATTAGTTTTACAGAATCTGATAACTTTTGATATATAGTATTCTCATCCTCAAGAATCTGTAAATTTCCTCTTCAACCCAGTAATAATTGAGAATAATGTTTTTAGATTTTCGGTTAGTAGGTTAAAATGTGTTATTTATTTTTAGTGGTGTGTTAAAAACCCTTTCCCCTTATATCATGTCTGCAAATTTCCCAGAAATTTGAAATCACTTTTAAAGTCATGTATTTCAATACAGCGTGATGTGGCAGATAATCGTGGCAGATAATTCTGTCATAGCTTCACTGCTGATGATATCTGGGTCTCATCTGATCTTCTACTTTATTTGGTGATAACTCTGCTACCTGCATCCCATTTGTTCATATAAGCCTGTTATGCCTTCATCCATCATTTTACTCTTAATTTTTGGGGGGTAATTGGTATTAGGAATGTATAAGTTGATTCTATTAAAATATTTAAATAAGAACTGTACACATTTTATTTTTCATTTTAATATGAAGTTAATCATTAAGTAGGTTTTGATATCAACATATAGTACCTATTTCCTCCTAATTGATTGAAACGGTATATCTCAAGGAATAACCTCTTTTGATATAGCTGAAAAATATTAAAAATAATACCAATAGCTATAATTTACTGAGGATTTGGCTATTTATATATCTTATTTAAGTGTCTGTTCAAATCATATAAACACTTCTCTATTATTAGCTCATTTTCTTACCTCACTCTTATCTCTTACTCCAATTATAATATTCTCCCTTAAAAATGCAGAACTCCAAAGCTTACGTATTTTACAAGCAGACACCAAACTTAAACTATTTGAAGAACACGGCTTACTATCCTCTTCCTAATTATCTCTCCGCCCTTACTTCAAGAAGTTCTGAGTCAAGGATGCTACTGAGAGAGAGAAGTACGAATAAAGCAAACATCATACCTTACCGTCACCCTAAGAAAGAACACGCATAGCTCATTTCTGATGCACTTGGAGCAGCTGTTTAAAAATATTCCGCTGACCACATTTCTGAAGGGACCGGGGCAGGAAGGGTCTCCCGTGTTAAGTGGCTGAATGCTGCACAAGTATTATTGCCCTTCCCAGAGTTTGGCAGAAATGGGGGAACACCCGCTCACCTCACCACAGGTATTACGCTTCTTTTTAGCAACCTGGGCATAGAACTCAGCCAATAAAAAGTTTTGGAAGATATAAGAGTAAAACTGTGTGAAAAATGAATGATTTAAACCTCTATGTTAAAAAATAAAAACCAAATCCACTGCCGTCGAGTGGGTTCCGACTCATAGCAACCCTATAGGAGAGTAGGGTTTCCAAGGAGCGGCTGGTGGATTCAAACTGCTGACCCTTTGGTTAGCAGCCAAACTCCTAACCACTACACCACCAGGGTTTCCACCTCAACATTAGCAGCTGTTATTTAGTTAGGAAGACTAAATGGTGATACTCCACATTTAAAACCGTGACTAGAACAGGGGCATCCCATCACCCGAGATCTTAAACTGATGACCTTCTACCTGCAGCGACAATCAATCTCACAGTTAAGGCAAATATCATACTGTCTACATGACCACATATGGACTGGTTTTTAGAATTACATTAAACTCACTAATGTAATCCTCTATTCTGAGAATTCCTGCTGAAAAATTGCTTGCCATTTAAGAAAAAAGACAAGCATGAAAATTTCAAGCACTTAATTTTTCTCTAAAACATCCTGAAACCTAGGAAGAATTTTCATCTTGAAGAAAAATTTTATACAGTTTTCATTTAAGTAAAACAATATGCATGTCCTTTAAGCTGACCAAATGCTATTTTAAAAGAGACGAAACATAAAAATCAAACTCTTATGTAAAAATTAATTAGTGCATTTTAAAAAGTGCGCTAATCTTTAAGGAAAAGAAGTCATAACTTTCCTTTACACACCTAATAAAATCCGAGGTGTGCATTTTTGCAAACCCTTTGAATTCTACATAAGAAAACACCTAATGTTGATCTAATGACTGAATTGTTAAGAAACTCTGACATTTTTGTAAGAAAATGAGTTCTTTACGCTAGTTACAACTCAGAGAGGAAGAAGTGGACTACCTACCACCTAATTTTCAGGCAAAAAATGTTTATTTAGATTATAAATTTCCACTTCCACTTATAAACCCCAATTAGTTCAAATATTTAAATGGAACAAAGTATAAAATAATTCTATACTTTCGAAAAGGTCAATTTCCTGCTTCTGTAGATACTCTGTAACATGGGCCCTTCCCCAGGCCATGGGCAGCACTTGAGGCCTGTTCTCCTCCAGCTTAGGTTAACCTACTCCTCACGGAATAACACAGAACTGTGCAAACACACACTCTCTGGATGGAGCAAAATGGCAAAGTACGGTATGGTGAGGATCAAAGTAAAGACTTGAGGATACAGAAGACAACATTCTAAACGTAGTAAAACTCCAGGCAGCGCTTTTCACTGTGAGTTTTCATTACCACTTGTTTCCCAGCCATGAGAAGAACAGCCTTCTAAAAACTAAGTGTACCCCCTGTGACGCAGCATCAGAACTGGTGTGCTGCCCTGGGTGTGGCGCAGGGGTCCTGTACCACCCGGCTCCGGGAGCGCCATTCCCATAGGCTCAGATGGCTGTCCTCGCCTGGGGAATTCTCACACCCAAAAACCAAACCAAACCCACTGCCGTTGAGTCAATTCCAACTCATAGCGACCCTATAGGACGGAGTAGAACTGTCCCACAAGGTTTCCAAGCCCATAATCTTCATGGAAGCAGACTGCAGAAACTTAAAATCCTGGCACATGAGTTAGAGGAAATGATTAGAAAGGCACCCTAACAGTATAACCTCAACCTCTTTTTAAATACTATATAACACTATATGAGCAAATATATTTAGGTGATTTAAACAGTCTAACACACTTCATTATTCCTCCTATGAATAATTATAAAATGTCACAAACGTTGATATGCCTCATGACTGTTTACATGATTCAGAATATTGAGTGTGTATGGTAAACCTAACCCACTGTCGTCCTGTCAATTCTGACTCATAGTGGCACTACAGGACAGAGCAGAACTGCCCCATAGGGTTTCCAAGGCTGTAGTAAATCTCTATGGAAGCAGACTGCCATGTCTTTCTCCCATGTATGGTAAAGTGGTAGGATATATTAAAAATGCAGCTTCACTGCCTCATCTCAGAATTATATTCTACTCTATGTTAACTGTTCTATCGATTTCCGAAACTTACTTTTAGTTTTCTCTTATCTATTTCAGCTTGCTCTTCCTGGTATAATTCTTGTTGCACTTGTTCCAAATCTTCACGTTGTCGCGCTATTTCTTCTAATTTCTGAGTCAGCTATGAAATTAAAAAAACACAGAAATATTTATAGGAACCAAATTCTACAGCTAATATTTCAGAAAGTCTCCAGTGTTGAAGAGGTGGTTATCTTAATACCGCATTCTGAAGCTGCAGTCTTTTTTCTTCATACTCTTGGGCTTTTGCCTGCCGATCTTCTTCTCTTTGCTTCTGGATGTTGGCAAACTCTGTGATTTTTCTGTTTTCTTCTTCCATCTCCTCACGCTTCTTTTGCCTCCAGACAGCCTGCTGTTTCTGAAACTCTTCTATGTAACTTCGAGCTGCCATCTTTTTTTCTAGCTTTTGTTGTCTTTCCCTAAAAAGCAGTAACGGATACAGTTTTATAAAAACAGCAATAACAACACAGTTAAATAAAGAAGTTATTTCCCTCTGTGGATAATAATGTGGGGAAAAGGTCTTTCATCTTTACAGTTTGTTCATTCATTCATGCAACAAACATTTTAAGTGCCTACTGTGTGCCACTGAACAAAATGCCAGCTATCAGTTTTCTCTGGGTAAAATGCTGCTACGCCTCTCTTCCAACCTATTAGTGAAGTTTCATGCATCTCATTTCAGAAAAGTCACATCCTGTTTAAGTAAGCCTTGTATCACTCTACACTTAAGCTGTCTGCCAAGGAAATTCAGCAGAAAGCATGTCCTCTGACACATGATATGGGCATATTTTTTTTTAAAAAAAAAAGGTTTAGTAATTCAGTCCCTTCAGAATCATTTATTATCAGACAACACGTTAGCAAAGATGACAAGAGCTGGTCTCACTCTATGTAATAACAGCTAACATTTGCTGAGCACTCACTGTGTGTCAGGCACTGTCCTGGGTGTTTTAAATCTTCACCACAAGCCTGTGATAAATTCACTGTAAATGTTTAGCCACGCCAGAAAGTTGGGACAAACTTACCATTGATCCTCTTCATAGATTTTCCTAACAATTTCATCAATCATGAGTTTCTCTTTCAGCAACTGCTTATAAGCTTCCTGCTTTTCTCCTTCCTGTTCTGCGAGCTGTTTCTCCAGGTCACTGCAGTACTGTGCTTTCACTCTGTTTCGTCTGTGCTCCGCAGCACTCTCCTCCTTTCTTAGTCTCTCATGTTCCTCCATCATCGTTCTCACTATTTCAGCTTCGCGTTTCTGTTAGTAAAACAAAATTTATCTTCCCATTTTCAAATCTGAGCATAGTACAATACAATATTTTAAGCAGATGTAATTCAGTATTATAAAGCCTGTAACATAAAATATTTTCATCCATCTAGGTAAAAAGCAAAGCTAAGTCACTGTCACCTGGAGGGTTTGGATGATGAGTCAGACCTTAAAGAGGCTTTTGTATTCCTTCAAGTAACTCTCTCAGGGCAATATCTGACAATGATAAATTATTCACTCCATATTTGAAAATCAGTAAGTAAAATTATAAGTACTTTATTAATAACTATTTCAACTGCTAAGGCACAAGTCATCCTTTTCTTCTTTGTAAGTTAGTTGCTCTAGGCAATCTTCTTCATTTTGAGCTCCCTTGTGTATCAGGTTCTATTTGGAGTAAGGTGGCACTAACCTCTTTCCCACAGGCCTGCTGTTAAATGGCTACAACTCTTAAGTTTGTCCTAGCCTAAACTTTCTTTCCTGCCACTGGCCCTTGAAGTCTCTCCTTCCTTACATATCAAAGGCCCTCTGCAACCACTTCAATTTAAAGGGGTTCCATATGTCACTCTGCCTGTTTTCTACAGTTTTTGATTCACTCAAGACCACTTCTTCTGAGTTAGAGACAATCCTCCTTCTTGGTGGGTTAAGCCCCGTATTTCTTTGGAGCATTATCAAATCATTTAGACAAAACAAGTTTCAAGTTAAATGTACTGGGGCAACTTTTAAAATTACCCTTTACCTTTACGATCACACCCCAAATGCTGGAATAGTTAGCAGTATCAAACACAAAAGAATAAACAGATTAAATTGCAAATGCTCAATGTCTTTCATGATCTAGCTGATACCTTCAACATATACCATTAATATGACTTGACTAAAATTATTTCTCTGCAGATGCTTTCTTTAAGTATGTTGATGTATTCTTTATAAAAAATATGAAATGACAAAAAAATTCACACACAGATTACCATACACTGAAGGGTAAGACAGTACACAATACTGGGAAAGCCAGCACAACTTGTACAAGGAAAGGTCATGAAAGCTCCATAGACACATCCAAACTCCCTGAGGGACTGAATTGCTGGGCGGAGGGCTGTGGGGACCATGGTCTCAGGGAACATCTAGCTCAATTGGCATAACACAGTTTATAAAGACAATGTTCTACATTCTACCTTGGTGAGTAGCGTCTGGGGTCTTAAAAGCCTGTGAGCAGCCATCTAAGATACTCCACTGGTCTCACCCCTTTGGGAGCAAGGGAGAATGAAGAAAACAAGATACAAGGAAAAGATCAGTCCAAAGGACTAATGGACCACAACTACCATGGCCTCCACCAGACTGAGTCCAGTACAACTAGATGGTGCCCAGCTACCACCACTGACTGCTTTGACCAGGATCACAACAGAGGGTCCTGGACTGAGCGGGAAAAAAATGTAGAACAAAATTCTAACTCACAAAAAAAGACCAGATTTACTGGCCTGACAGAGGCTGGAGAAACCCCGAGCGTATGGCCCCCGGGCCCTTTTAGCTCAGTAATGAAGTCACTCCCGAGTTCACCGTTCAGCCAAAGATTAGACGGCCCCATGAAACAAAACGAGACTAATGGGACACAACAGTTCAGGGACAAGGACTAGGAGGCAGAAAGGGACAGGAAAGCTGGTAACAGGGAACCCAAGGTTGAGAAGGGACACTGTTGACAGGTCGTGGGGCTGTTAACCATTGTCATAAAACAATATGTGTACTAACTGTTTAATGAGAAACTATGTGTTCTGTAAACCTTCATCTAAAGTACAATTAAAAAAAAAAAAAAAAGAAAGAAAAAAACAGATAACCATACACTTATAGAAATACAACGTTCTCATTTTATGACTAACAAAGCCAAGACTCAGAGAGGCAGGGCTGAAACCAGCACCCAGGTGTACTGACACGCAGTCACGTCCTCAGTGTATGAGACTTTCATTTTTGTGGGTCAATTTTATTTAGAAAACAGCAGCAATTCTCTAAGAAGTCAAGCTGAAATGCCTGCAACTGCCTCAATAACCTCAATTGTCAGGATAAGTAAAACTGCAAACCACTCGTGAAACAGGCATGTACATCTTCTATTTTCTACTTTAAAGGGTGGAACTATACGGTTTAGGAAATGAAGTTTCCCACCATCTCCGATCATACCATGCTGTTTAACCCTCTAGACTTTTTCTGGACTAATACAGATGAATACTCACATACATTTCACACACACACGTACGTACCCATGTGTCATTTATGGCCGGCGTCTACTCTTATTTGGTGCCCGCACTGCACTGTACAGGTTAAGCATTTTGATATCACTCCTCCAATCATACGTGTGCATGTGAACATATGTGTGCATAATGATACATAAAATACGTGTTTGTGTATATATACACACATATATTTGTATTAACATACACAAGTATGTGTGTGTTAAAATAGACACATAAATACATAATGTATAGGGTTTCTAAAACATAAAAATGATTTATGATATGAATTATTATCCAACTTGATTTTTCTGCAACTTGCTTTTTTTTCCCTTCAGTTTGTAACATAGTCTAGCCAACTTTAAAAGCCAGAACATTTACCTCCACTTCTTTCTCTGTAACAGCTGTAGGACATCTGTGAAAGGGATCAGAAGAGAGGGAACTCTACCACCATAATGCCCTACATATTAATAGGGAAAGCAGGGAAGGGAACTGAAGGCTGGAATCCCTCAGTTAGATCCTGGAATCCTTGTGTGGCCTTTCTGTGTGCTATGACAGCTCGAGCGAGCAGGAGTGTTCGGCCTCTAAGTGTCTCCTCAATAAACTATTTCACGTTTGCACTGTGTGACATTACTGGTGAGCATGTCTGAGACTCCTCTGCCCAAGGGTAACTCCCGCTCTGGACTTGGCAGCACTTGAGGAGTTAGAAAAACAAGGGTATAAGATAGGAACATGAGAAGAAAAGATTACTGTTTATAAGACAGGTGTTTCCAACATAAAATTATTATTTGAAAACATTTGGTGAAAAGTAAACAAAACATTAACAACATTCTGAAATAACCGATCATACCAACTCCTTGTCCTGTACTAGTTTGTTGAAGAATAATTAGTCAGAGACCATGTGGATGCCTTCACATCTCCAAGGGAAAGGGTCCCAAAACCGAGGTGCCTGGCATGCTGAGGGTGGCCGGCTCAGGTGTGGGCCCCTCTCCATTCTGTGGCTCGTGTTCCTGCGTTCCTGAGAATGTAACTTTGACTTGTTCGTATGCATACGGCCTTGGGCTTCTGACTGAGTGGAACCAGCAGGCGCTGGCCCCCATCAATCATCTTGTGACCCCGTCGTGAGAATGTACTTCTGCAATTACGTGCGTGTACCCCATCCCCTTAACCCACGTACACTCTGTTACACAATCCCAACCAAAGCCCCACTTTGAGATATCCCACCTTCCACTTTACTGCTTGCTTGCCTACCAATCAAAATATTGTGAGCTAAGTTCCTGATTCAACCCTATAACTATGCCCGTGGGATAGCAGCTTCGCAGAACACGGGTTTTCACTTTGTGAGATCCAGCGTGTCCCCGGCTCCAGCTGCCTTTGCTCTCAATCAATCTCTTTACTTTCATTTAAACAGAGAACCCATTGTCACTTGACAACATCTGAAAGGCTCTAATGTAACTAAACAAAGCTCCATATGATGTCATTCATAATTTCCTATACTTTAAAGAACTAAAAAGTATAAAAGTATTTGAGAAATCTAGCAGTGTAAATTCTTTACAGTATGTAACATTTTTCAAAAAATTTTGGTTTCTCAAAGGAAGCTAAAAACATAATAACCAGACACATAATCACCATTTGCTCGTATTTAATGGCATCCTTTTCAGCAATCTGAGCTGCCCTTTCTTTATTCATGTAAGCTGCCTTTAACTTCTTCTCCAATTCTCTGAGCTCAATACTGTTAACAAAAAAAAGGACACAAATTTAAATTTGAGGACCATATTTCTCTTACGACTATGAAAGCATAATCTATACCTGAAATTTTAAAGATTTTTTTAAAATGTATTAAGAATATTTAAACTACAATTTAAATATTTTGAAAAAATACCCTTTTCTCTCTTTATCCAAAGAAAAATCAGAATGCATGTGGAATGCAACATTATAGTTAATTTTCTGGACAAAACAACCCTTTTATTTCCAATAATCATCACTAAATTTTTTCTGCCAATGCCTGGTTCAGAGAAGGTACTTGTTATGGACTGAACTGTGTCCCCCAAAATATGTGTTGAAATTGTAACCCCTGTGCCTGTGGGTGTAATCCCATTTGAGAACAGGGTTTTCTCTGTTATGTCAATGAGGTCATATCAGTGCAAGGTGTGTCTTAAACCTAATCGCTTTTTCCCCTCTTTTTTAAACTGTAGTGAAAACAACACAAGTTCCACATTTACAGCTTAATGACATTTTTCATGGGATGGCACCATTATCACTATCCTCATCCAAAACATTCCACCACCATTAACATAAGCTCAATGCCGTCCCCCTTTTCCCCTTTCCCTTCCCCCTCCCTCCCACTCCTGTTAGCCAGTAATAATCTTTGGTTTCTATATATTTGCTTATTTCATATAAGTGAGATCATTTAAAGTAACCAAGATACCTGTTTTCTCTTACTTGTTGCCTCATCTTTTCATCCTTTAGACTTTCATGTTTTAGTTTTGCCAACTCTGCAGCCAATTTTTCTTCTTGTTCAAGCTGGCGTTCCCACAATCTTTTGTTTTCTTCTGCCTGAATAAGAAAAAATAACTTTAGATATTTTTCCTCCAGAATCATTATTTTTTTCTTTTAGGATGAATCTGTTTCATTATACAAAACTGCACATGCCTTAGGTACAATGGTTGACTATTTCGTGTGTTTTATAACTCCCAGAGTGTCTTGTGGGCATCTCTTCAAAACTGATAGTAGTTCACACGAATAGACATATGCACACCCATGTTCAGTGCACCATTATTCACAAGAGCATAAAGATGGAAACAACCTAAGTGCCCATCAACAGACGAATGGATACACAAATCATGGTACATACACACAATGGAATACTACACAAAGAATCCTCGAAATCTCTCATAACATGGGTGAATCTGGAGGGCACCATGCTAAGTGAAGTAAGTCAATCACAAAAGGACAAATACTGTATGAGACCACTATTATAAAAGCTAAAGAAAAGGTTTACACACGGAAAGAAACAATCTTTGATGGTTATGAGGGAGGGGAGGGTTTGGGAAGGGAAATTATTAACTAGAGAGTAGGTAAGTGTTAACTCTGGTGAAGGGAAAGATAGTACACACTAGAGGAGAAGTGAATACAACTTGACCAGGGCAAAGTCATAAAAGCCTCACAGACACATCCAAACACCCTGAGGGATTAAGTTACCGGGGCTGAGGGCTGGGGACCATGGTTGCGGGGGTCATCTAGGTCAACTGGCATAACAAAGTTCATAAAGAAAATGTTCTACATCCAACTTTGGTGAGTAGCATCTAAGGTCTTAAAAGCTTGCAAGCGCCCATCTAAAATACATCTATTGATGCCACCCTGTCTGGAGCAAAGGAGAATGAAGAAAACCAAAGACACAGGGGAAATATTAGTCCAAAGGACTAATGGACCACAGTACCACAGCCTCTGCTAGCCTGAGCCCAGAATAATTAGATGGTGCCGGGTTACCACCACCAATAGCTCTGATAGGGATCACAATAGAGGGTGTCGGGCAGAAAAATGTAGAACAAAATTCAAATTCACAAAAAAAGAAAAAAAAAAGACCAGACTTACTGGTCTGACAGACTGGAAGAACCCCCGAGACTACGGCCCCTGGACACTCTTAACTCAGAACTGAAGCCACTCTCGAAGTTCACCTTTCAGCCAAAGAGTAACACACGTGACGAACGTGCTTCTTAGTTCAATCGTGTATTATGAGACCAAAAGGGCAACACCTGCCCAAAAGCAATGATGAGAAGGCTGTAGGGGACAGGAAAAATGGACGGATGGAAAAGGGGAATTGGGGTGTGGGAGAGAGCTGACACATTGTGGGGATTGCAACCAATGTTACAAAACAATTTGTATATAAATTGTTGAATGAGAAACTAATTTGCTCTGTCAAGTGTCACCTACAGCACAATTAAAAAACAAAAAAGAATTTTGTGGAAAGCACCACAATTGTACTTACGTGAATAAAACTGTGGAAGTTAATAACTATGGATTTCATATTTATCTAAAAATAAAATAGAGTGCTTACTCTCTGCCGGCATTGTTTGAAGGGCTTTACATGTTTTAACTCATTAATTATTACAACAATGCTATGAAACAGGTACGATTATTACTCCCTATTTTATAGACGAGGCATAAAAAGTAAAAGCAATTTACCCAAAGTTCTGTAGGTAATAAATAGCAGTACTAGGATTCAAAGACACGCAGTTAGCGGCAGGAACTCTTTACCACTACAGTGGGCCGACTCACAGTGAGGCATCCCTTACCTGATGCTGTCATCCGTCTCCACTCAACTCCAGTATCAGCAGTTGGCTTTCATTGTTTTCCAAGGAGAAAATGGAGACAAAAGTAATGTAATAATGCACAGTAAAACTTACCTTTTGAATGGCCTCTTCCATATCCAACTCAAATTGTTCATTCTGTAATAATCTGAGGAATCTCTTGCGCTCAACACGGTCATCATTTTCATTCTTCACCCTTAGATCCCTGACTTGATTCTCTATCTTTTTCAGTGCTTGGATATGCAATTCTTTGCTGTAGTTTTCATCTACTAATTTCTGATGCCTTTCAGCAAAGCTCAAATTTCTCCTTTTGGAAGCCTGTAATGCAAAAAAAAAGAGAGAGAGAGAGAAATTACGCATACTTTGAAATACTAAGATCTGTACTTTTTAAATGATAAAAAGATAGGTAACAAATAAATGTAAGGTCATGGGCTTCCTTCCTAAACTCAGAGAATTTTCCATAATAAAAAGGTAAACAGGGTAGATGAACACAGTAGGTACTAGTATTATTCCTCTTTTTATAGATGAGGCATGAAAAGGAAAAGCAACTTACCCAAGGTTCCACGGCTAATACGTAGCAGTACTAGGATTCAAAGGCATGTGGTATAGCTGTATAGCCCCATTTCTTTACCACTACACAGGGAATCCCTCCTTCCCTCATTCCACGCCCCAAACCCGGGCATGGGTGCTGTTTGGAAGCTGGTCAAGTTTTCCCAACGCAAACTGAGTAAGTCAACGCGCTGGTATCCATCCATTCACTCATTCTCTCCAGGACTTTTATTTCCACTAATTTGTCCACAGGTTCTACATCTTTCCCCAGTTTTCCAGAAATAGGAGAAACAAGATTTTATCGGGCAGATTTAGAGACGTATCTAATACAGGGTGGGGAAAAGCAAGAACGGCCGGGAGCCTCCGCGAACGCGCCTTACACAGCGCCTCAGGCCCCAAAGAGCAAACGCAAGTCTCCCACTTAATTCTCAGATCTTTCTGTAGAAGCAGGGGGCTCTAACCATATTAAATCAATAAATAAAAAAGTCGTTTCGAGTCCCCCGACCAGCTCACCATCTAGGCTGGCGAAAACTCCCCTCGCTTGCTCCCGCGGCCACCACCTCTCGCCCCGGCGTGGACGCGGTGTCCTAGCAACCAACGCGGCGCCACGGCCTGACAGAAGCCAACCAGCGCAATTCTCGGCCCCCTATTGGTCGTGGCGGCATCCAATAGGCACAGAGCTTCTTGGGAGCCTGGCAGCACGGCTTCTCCTATTGGTGTAAACGAAACAGGCGGGAAGTTCAGACGAGGCCATTTGCAATCGGCTAGAGCCTCAGATTTTCCCCAAGCGGCCGAACTCTCTAATTCGAGTGGTTTGGAAGCGAAGTGGGAGTCTGGAAGCGGTTTACAGAGAAAAGCACAAATTTCTGTCTTGCACGTGTGGCTGGAGGGAATTCCTCTCACAGAGCATCCGGCGTCCTCAAAGCCAGCTCTGCAGAAGTTGATAGCTTCGTTCTCAGCAGTGTGTGTCCTGGGGCACTGTCCCTACTGCTGGGATACCATGAGACCTGTGGGTGTCGACTGCTTCCAGGAGCCTTTGCTTCATTCCCACAGAAAATGTTGGTAAACTTTGGGAATAAAATGTATGGGCCGCATGGATCTTATTCTGCTGTTTAATAGATGGTCCAGGTACCAGTTGAAACAGCAGATAGATGATGGCCCAGGTGTTGGTCTGGTTTATTTTATCAGCACGTTAAACATTAAAGTCTATTTTAAATGGAAGAATTTAAGAACGGGTATGGATCAGAGAAATTAGTGAAATGCACTTACTTCAGAGATGATATATTTAGAGAAGTCTTGTCAAAACTAGTTTTCAAAGGTGGTTAGCAGCAGTTGGTGTTATCCTAACTTGAAGTCCATCTTGTGTAGCAATCTGTCTGCTTAGAGATTAATAACAAATAGGATTTCCCATTTCAGCTCCAGCTGGTAAACAGCGTGGAAGTCGTCAATCCCATCCTTGAAAGAAGAAAGGGAAAAAAAGCTGAACAAACTGAAAATCAGCAATTTTTCTTGGACCCATCAGAAAACTGAGGTTGCAAAAAAAAATTGCCATTCAGAAATATGGAGAGAGGGGAACCTGGAGAGTCAAAGCTGAGATTTACGTACCTAGATCAGAAGCCACTGGAGCCATAAACTGGTAGGAATGCTTAAATGGTAATTTTGATAAATTGCTGGAGACTGAGTGTGGGCTAGTATGAGAGTAAGAAACTCCTGGGAGTTTCTGTGTTGGGGGGTGAGGGGTGACATGTTTTTGTGGGCTTTACCTCTAGGAACTCACCAGGTTCTCACAGTGAAGAACCAAAAAAGATCCCCTCATGGCTGTGGCAGGGGAGAGGAAGAATAATCATTATGGAAAAGTCCAGAGCCTTCTTCACAATAAAGGCCTACTTTTCCAGGAGAAAAGACTTCACCAGAGGCATTACCTGAACCTTAACTCAAAGGACAAGGACATTTCTCTTAACTAAGGGGAGGGAGGGTCCGAGAAACACTTGCGAAGGTCACAGTCTAGGGACACAGGCCTACTAAAAAACTGAGATTTAATCATACAATTATAGAATGCTTTTCCTCCTCCACACTTTACCACTACACCAACAGTACTCCAGTATATTAACAGCTGATTGTAGCGGAAAGAGCAGCAAGACACATACTTTATCTGACAAGGAATTCCTAGGGAAATCCAAAGACAACAGAGGAGACAAAGCAAGGACACTCGAGGAATTTGAAACCTCTATCACCTACCACACCAAAAAAAACCCAAACCTGTTGCCGTCGAGTCAATTCCAACTCATAGCGACCCTATGGGAAAGAGTAGAATTGCCCCATAGGTTTTCCAAGGAGTGTCTGGTGGATTCAAACTGCTGACCTCTTGGTTAGCAGCTGAGCTCTTAACGAATGTGCCACCACTGTCACCTTCAGCTACAGCAACATTAAGCACAGCCCAGTTTCTATCCACAGTAATATAAAACCTCACACTAAAGGCCTATTTACCTCAGTTCCTATTACCCAATACACCATGTCTGCCTTTCAACAAAAAACTGCAAGTCATGCTAAAAGGCAAGAAAAATGTTTTGAACTGGTCTGAGTCAGACCAGACTCAGATATGATATCAGTCAGAGAATTTAAATAACTATGATTAATATGTTAAGAAAAGTAGACAACATGGAAGAACAGGTGGATAATGTAATAGAAAAAAATCTAAGAAAGGCTCTAAAGAAAATGCTAGAAATCAAAAACACTAACAGTGAAAAATGCCTTTGATGGCTCATCAGTAGACTGGACACAGATGAGCAGAGAATGAGTGAATTTGAAAATATGCCAATAGAAATTTCTCAAACTGAAATAGATTAATAGCAAATATTGGCATTTTAAACCTTACCTTAAACTCAAATTCTTTATTTTCCTACATTATAAGAGTACTTGCGTTGGGAGGGGATGGCTAGGAAGGGGTGAATGTTTCTGTCTTTGGGGGGGTCTCATTATAAACTTAATTACCAGAAAAGTAAAATTGACTACAGGGTTTTTACAGTGCAAAATATTTTGAAAATAAGATGTAACTCTTGTATGCATTTAATCCCCTGTTAGTCTAGCAGCCTCCATAGGGACTCTACAAAAAAATATGGTGTAATCTATAGCTTCTCATAGCATGGCCTCTAATTAAAATTGTTGGCTGGACTGTCCCCAGAAGTTTTTGTCTGTTTGAACACTGATGTATTCCAAGCATTTAAAATGGTGATTGGCATATAGTAGGTGCAAAATAAATATTTGTTAAATGAACAGATTATTGAAATTATACTATCATTATGCATATAAAGGGGGATCTGGTGGTGCAGTGTAGGAGAAAGCTCTACACAGAAATTACTTTGGGGAAGTCTTCATTCTGTTTCAGCCTAGTTAGAGTTTTATCAATTTTGTTTATATTTTCAAAGAACAAACTTTTGTCTATTAATTTTTTTCTATTTTTTCTATTTCCGAGTTCATTGATTTCTGCTCTTGCCATCATTATTTCCTTTTTCTGCTTGCTTTGAGTTTAATTTGCTCTTCTTTTTCTAGTTTCTTAAGGTAGAAGCTTGGCTGTTTATTTAAAACCATTCTTCTTTTCAAATATAAACATAATATTTTAAATTTCCCTCTAAGTACTGTTTTAGGTACCTCCCAGATTTTGATATACTGTGCTTTTATTTTCATTCAATTCAAAATATTTTTTATTTCAATTTTGATTTCTTTGGCCCATGAGTTATTTAGAAGTATTCAGTTTGCTTTTCAAATATTTCTGACTGCCTGCCTGGATTTTTTTTTGTTATTGATTTCTAATTTAATTCTATTATGGTCAGAGAAAATATTTTATATAATTTCAGTTCTTTTAAGTTTGTTGAGGTTTATTTCACCCAGGGATTGTTCCTAGTGCACTTGAAAAGAATGTGTATTCTGGAATTGTTGGGTGGAGTGTTCTATAAGGTGAAGCTGGTTGAGAATGTTGTTCAGGTATTCTATATTCTTACAATGTTTCTGTCTACTTGTGTTATCAGTTACTGAGGGGTGTTGAGATCTTCAGCTATAATTTTTAAAAAATTTTTTTTTAAAATTCTATCAGTTTGCTTCATGTGTTTTAAAGTTCTACTGTTGTGTGTATACACCTTTATGATTATTATTTGATTATTATTATTATGTCTTCATGACATTTTGACATGCAACGTTTTGAAATGACCCTCTTTATCCCTGGAAATATTCTTTGTTCTGAAATCTTTTTGATACTGAAGTAGCCACTCCAGCTTTCTTTTAGCTTACTATTTGCATGGCATATCTTTCTCCACGCTTTTACTTTGAAACTATCTATATCTTTACATTTAGAGTGGGTTTCCTATAAATAGCATATAGTTAGATATTGCTTTTTTATCTAAGCTAACAATCTCTGTCTTTTAATCAGTCTGTTTAGTTGATTTACATTTAATGTAATATTGATATGGTTGGATTAAAATCTACAAATTTAAAAATGTTGTTTCATCAGTTCTTTATTTTTTCCCTCTTTTCTACCTTTTTTTCTTTGAGTATTTTTTGTGACTCCATCTTATCTTCACTATTACCTTATTATTTTTACCTCTATAATTTTTAAGTGATTGCCCTAGGATTTACAATATACATATTTAATTATTAAAATGCTATAATTCTGCTTTATGTGTCGTATGTAAAGCTCATGACAGTATGCTTCCAATTTCTTCCGTCTTTTGTGCTATCATTAATTGCATATTTTACTTTTATATATGCTATAAATCCATAATACATAGATTTACACATGTTGTTTGATATAGTTTTAAAGCTCTTGAATGTCTGTTCTTTTTTCCTCCCCCCCACCCCCCCCCAGTCTTTTTTATCTTTATGTGTCTTCTTGGGCAATTTCTATTGCTATATCTTGAAATTCACTAACTCTTTCCCCAGCTGTGTCATGTCTTCCTATGAGCCTGTCAAAGGCCTTCTTCATGTCCATCACTGTTTTCTCTTTTTTACCTGTTCTATTATTTTCACCTAATTTAAAAATCTAATGTTTCCTATTTTTTTTAATAGTTTCCATCTTTTCTGATAAATTGCCTATCTTTTCATGTATGTTGTATACTTTTTCCACTTTATCCTTTAACATATTAATGTATTATTTAAAAGCGTCTGGTAGTTTCACCAACCATCTGGGTCATATGTGGGTTTTGTTTCATTCATTGCTTTATCTTTTGCTCTTTTTACATTGTTTTTTCCTTGCTTTTTGCATCTCATAATTTTTTATTGAATGCTAGAAATTATGTGTAAGACAGCAGGGACTGAGATAAATTCTATTTACGCCTGGAAATGAGCTCACCTCTTTTTCAGCTAGGCCATCAGTGTGGGAGGTTGAGCCAGTGTAGTCAGGAGTGGAGCTGAGTTTGGGCTTTGTTGTTGCTATGGTTATCTTCAGTGCATCATCATCTTTAGTTTTCTCTGGTGTTACCATGTGCTTACGTTGGGGACTGGTTTTCCAGAAGAATTTCTCAATGTTCCTGATCCACTCATAGCTGTAGGCCTGCCCTGTGTTCCTTCCTGCCTTCT